AAGTCTAGGAAAGTAAGCAAGAGAGAGAGAGAGAGAGAGAGAGAGAGCAAGAAAGGTAAAGAAAGATAGACATGTACGATGAAGAAAGGAGGAGTCTGAATGAAGAAGAGGGAAGAGGGAAGAAATGAAGTGGTGGAGGTCATGAAAATATATGCAGATAGTCACTGAGATAATTCGGTACGATGATAGTAAGGATTTGAACAAACTAAGAAGGCCTCCTGACTGGCTACTTGATGTATGAAAAGAGAAATTTATTTACTGAAAAAAAAGTTTGAACAATGTAACTATGAACAATTTTTTTGCTATCCTCTGCTAGCCGCAATGATGGAGAAAGCATTACATCGAACCATTGCCAGTGAGACACGCTTCAAGAGCCACTCCGTCTCGCGAGGTTCGTCCCTTAATCGAGACGCAATCGCGCCAATCCTCCGAAGGAACGCCATCGAACGAGAGCCAATAACCCCAGAAGTCTCGACTGCCACAGAAGTAAAAAAAAAAAAAAAAAAAAAAAATCAATCAGCAAGAGAAGAATATTTAACTATATATATTTTTTTATCTCTGCGTCCCGGGCGACGGACCCCAGCTCAATCGCGGACCTGATCAAATTACCAGCCGAAAATTTATCCGCAATCACCGACTTCCTCATTTTAAAAGGGAAAATTGTAATGACATCCGTCTGCTTTCCATCACCACTGTCGAGGCCTACGGGTTCGATTTGGGAAGGGAACTCAGCTGCTTCCAAACCTCTTCTGGTGATGTCGTTTATTGCTGCATGCCGTGGAAAGCGGCCGGCTTTTTACTGTTTGGTAAACAGAGTTACGCGTGCAAGTACTTGTGACACTGCGGCTGTGAGGTGGTTAAACATTTGATTCTGAGTAGAAAAGGATCAAGCTCAAAATGAAATATAAACTGGAAGATGGGGAGACAGAAAGAGAGAATGGAAGACATTTTCCCTGGTAATAGGGAAGTTAAAAAAAAAGGTCAGCTGGATTGCATTCACGATGAACCAAGAGTTTATTTTTCTTATATATCGAGAGTCTAGCATGGGGACGAAAACAAATTTGGAGACCAATTCCATCTCTTCTTTGAGAATTTAGACAGACGGGAATTACATTTTCCTTGTGAAAAACGAAAACAAGGGACGAGAGAGAGAGAGAGAGAGGGGAGAAATTTTCCTTGGTAAGAATGGGACCGTCTGGATTTCTTCTCTCCTAAGGCTTATTTTTCTTATTTGTCTCGAAATTTGGCCTGCGGGTAAAACAAATTAGGAAATAAGTTTATCTCTTTCTTGAGAAATTAGGAAAACACATATTATTAACTAGAGGAGAAGCTAAAATTTAAAAAAAATTATAAAAAATCCCTTACTATAAAGGTAAGAAAAAGGCTTAGACAGAAGCGTCTATCTTTTTAAATTTGGATTTTTTAATGTAACTATAACAACAAAAACATTTCGATTTCATTTTTGCCTTGAAAAAGTCAGAAGACGAAACGCGTCGGCAAAATCTAAAAATTTTTTCCAATTGTCATTTTATACCAATTTGTCTTGTCCACAGAATTGATCTGGGAATTTAACTATATATATATATATATGAATTAGGTTCAACTACAGATCCAATATGGATCGGAATCTAACGGAATGAAAAAATAAAGAACGAATACAATTTATAAATCTAACATGTTTTACTTTTATGAAGGTTCAATAATAGAATGAGGTATAAAGAATGAAACGCATTCTGGCATTTTTATTGTTGTATTATTTGATTTTCATTGGTTAATAGTCTTCTGAACATTTGCCTTGATAAAGACCATCAGAGGATGAGACTCGTCGCCAAAGATATGTTTTCCTTTCGTCTTTATTCATATTGTTTTTTTTATATTGTTTGATATATTTTTAGTTATATCTGAAATTTTACGCACACACACACACACACACACACACACACACACACACACACACACACACACACACGCACACGCAGACACGCACACATATATATATCAGCCTGATTGCGTTTGGCATAAAAAATTGAAACAGTCGCCCCTGAGAGTTGACTTCAGTGTACACTTTTATATTAACATATACTCTATCTCTGATATTGAGCACTTTATTCCATAAATATAGCATACCTTAAAACTATATTTCTTCACACACACACACACACACACACACACACACACACACACACACACATATATATATATATATATATATCTGAAGAGAGGAATCGATGAACAAATTGGGATAGATAAAAATATATATATTAAAATATAGACAATTAGTTATGCATAGAATTACGTAGAGAAATTCAGATAGATGATTACGTAGACATATTTTTATAATAATGTTCGCCCTGTACGAGGCCCAAGAGCCACTCGCGGTAGAGGTTTACAAAGTTAATCGTAAGGGACACAGTTTATGAGGATATGAGATATGTGGATATAGCGGCTGATCTTAGACTTAAACAGGTTAAGGAGATCGGAGAAGCATCCTCTTGGGAGTCGGTCTCACAAAGTATCAGTTCGTGGGAAGAAGCTGTTCGACTAGAACTTACGTATCAGCATTAGGAAATCAAAAGATAGACAGAAATAGAGATCTGTTTCTATTTCGAGAAACAGAGGGAATATATAGTGAGAAATATATATCAATGCTCTCACACATATAGAAATAAATAAAAAGGGGATACGCACGCGTGAGTGAATACACGTGCTCACACACGCAATATGAAAGGAAAGAAAAATCAACCTTGCGCCAATGAAATGTGTATATATAAAAAGACGATATATATATATATATATATATATATATATGTGTGTGTGTGTGTGTGTGTGTGTGTGTGTGCATTTCAATTTATATTACATGAATCATTCATACAAAAAGTAGATTAGTAAAATTAATGATATAAATGGCGAAAAACATCTTCGCATACAAATTTATTAAAGTTACATTTACCTACAAACCACTCAATGAATGTTATAATCCTTGTTTTTAATAACTTCAAGTTGTATAAGGTCTTTTTTATACGCTCTTTTTTCCTCAGATATAAATATAAATTCGTTTGCGAAGATGTTTTTCGCCATTTATATCATATATAACTTTACTAATCTACTTTTTGTATGAATGATTCATGTAATAGATAGATAGATAGATAGATAGATAGATAGATAGATAGATAGATAGATAGATAGGATAAAACAGCATTTACCCCCCAGAATTTTGAATCGGGCCGCTAGCAATATTATCCGGAGCTGTATCACTAACTTTAGTGTGGCCTGTTTCTCTATTTTGTCTCGGTCCAACACTGTATCATCTCAAGGTTCTTATATATCAGACCCCGCAAGCCTTCTCTCTGTAAACAGAGGGATTGTTTGTTGGGTCTGAATATTATTGATCTCTAGTTTTCCTTGAAAAATTTTTCCTTCATTAGTCATCCTATAAATTAACTTACGCGTTCGTACTTTTAATTCCCAGAATAAAACTTGATAAGACTGAAACGAAACTGTTGTTTTTAGCTATTAAATTTACACTGATATGCCTTGGAATTTAAATTTTAAATAACGCTTATTCCTTGCTATGTATAAAGTTCTGTACAGCAAAAATCATATATATATATATATATATATATATATATATATATATATATATATATATATATATATATATATATATATATTATAAAATGGAAAAAAGTCCGACAATTATTTTAAGACATTTTTTATTCATAAGCCTGTTTATTATAAACAGAGCATTTACTTAAATATTTGTATCTATAAAAAAAGAACGTGTAAACATAAAATTTATATATATATATATATATATATATATATATATATATATATATATAATGTATTTTAATACCTATACTCGACTGGTATAAACAAAAAAAAACCGATAATAGAATCTGCAAATAAAAATATATTTAAACAAACTGGCATTTGGGAAAAAAATTTGTAAAAAAAAAAAATGAAAAACACCCGAGGTTGAAAAAAATCACCCAACGCCGTAATGTCTAACCAAAAGAAAATCTCCAATCGAGTAAAATAAGAAAAAACGTGAAGTGCTCAATGCGCTAATAGAGCTGAGTTTAAAATATCCTAGTGAGCCAGAAACTACCTACCTAGGTTAGACATAAATGTATATTCAGTTCGCCCTGAAGATCCATTTAGATTAAACCTAGGTAGGTAGTTTCTGGCTCATTAGGGATTATATATATATATATATATATATATATATATATATATATATATATATATATATATATTATTCCGCGGAGCTATGTAAAGTACCAGGTTGAGAACTAGCGCTGGCTAGCTGCTCTTGAGGGTGAAAGGAGCCTCTCTGAGCTTTGGTTATCAATTCTTTTAGTGTTGGTTTCACGATAAAAGGACTTCAGATTGGAAGGAAAACTCATGGCAGCTTAATCCGGTCCTTATATTGCATGTGTCTGCCGAGAGGCGTGTACTGGCTGATATTGACTGTGACCCGGAGAGGTTAAACTATGCGATAATAACAAAAGGGCTGCCATTCAGATTTTCCGTGGCAAGTCTTTTGCACTGTTACATTTTTATCGACAGATCCAGAAAAGTGTGGATGGTCCTACACAAGCCTTCACCTCTTGAAACAAATCATTGTGTTGGTTTTCTGACAACTACATCTAATTAGTTCCACACATATCGGGCTACTGCGAAAAACTCTACGAAACAACATCAAATTCATCTTGGCACTTGGAATGTACGAAATCTCCAGGACAACAACTCATCACCAGAAAGAAAAACAGCTCTGGTCGCATTGGAGCTAAAGTACAACGTTGATATAGCTGCACTGAAAAGTAAGCATCATTCGACTACATGAAACGAGAAAGCAAAATCTAACAGTGTTCCTGCTGCACTTGGATACAATACATTCTCATGTATGGTTTGTGGTCTTTTGTGCAATTCTCAAGCCGGTCTCAAAAGTCATGCCCGTCATAGGCATGCAGATAATTAGTTCGTCGGAACCTCATACATATATATATATATATATATATAATGGAATCTCCCGTCCTTTCGACGTATGTCTTTCAGTTCAGTTTTTATGTTTATGTCTCGTATGAGACAAAATCCTGCACGGGATTTGCAAACAAATTCACACGAAGGGCATACTGAAGGGTTGACCGTCATATGAGCTGATTTATTAGCTTGAGATTTAATGTTAATTCTCTCAGATGGTTGAGACGATTCTTTTCAAAGTTAGTTATGCCTCAGTGGCAGGTGTTTCTCCAGTTTGCTCGGTTTTCAGCTGCAAGTTCGAACTCCTCTATAGGGATGTTTGCAGCAATTAAATTGTATTTAAGTTTGTCCTTGAAGTGTAACCAAGGACGGCCTACATTACGCTTACCATGAAAAAGTTGGCATGAGGATTTTCGGCATCTGATCATCACTCATTTTGATGACATGAGCAGCCCATTTGAACTGTGATTGTATCAGAAAAGATTCAATACCATCGACACCACATTTGATGAAAAGATCAGGGTTAGAGATTTTGTCCTGCTGTGTATAACCGTATATTGAACGAAGACAGTGTTTATGAAAAGCATCAAATTGATTGATGTGTGTCTTGTATGGCGTCCACGGTCTGACTCATAAAGAAGTGTGGTGAGAATGACTGCTCGATAGACACTGATTTTCGTTTTCAGTGAAATCCCATGATCATCCCACGGGCGATGCTTAAGCTTCCCAAAGGCATTGGTTACCTTTGATATTCGGTTAACTATCTCGTCATCCAAAGAGGCACTTGAATTGACTTTGCTTCCTAAGTACGTGAATAATTTCACATACTTCAGGTTGTTGTTGCCAACAGTAATGGGAACGATTGGAAAGGTATGGGCAGGTGCTTTTTGTTTTACACCCTTGACCTGCTTAGGTGTAGGCCTTGGTTGATTGAGAAATTCAGTTTTCTTTATGCTTATAGTTAGTCCGAATGCGTTGCAAGCGGTGGGAAAACTATTGATTCTTCGATTGAGGAGGCCACGATCGCAGCGTCCTCAGCAAACAAAAGATCACGAATAATGTTTGCTCGAGTCAGCGATTTTGCTTTAAAACGTTGATGGTTAAAGAGGCTGCCACTTGTGCGGAATTCAAATTTCACATCCATGTCAAGATCACTAAATCATGGTGCAGGGTGACCGAAAAGAAGAGAGTGAAAAGTACAGGAGCCATGACAAAACCTTGTTTTGTGCCATTTGTTACATCAAAGGTTTCTGAAAACTCTCCACAGATACTTTCATTCCTTAGTGAAACGAGATGATGACATTTAGCATACTGTCAGCCATACCAAGACTTTGGGGTACTTTCCAGAGGGTACTCCTGGTTACAGTGTCAAACGCTTTGGTCAGATCGATAAAGACGGTATAGAGTTCATGGTTCTTCTCGCGAACATTCTCAGCAACCTGAAGAAGTGAAAAAATCATATCAATGGTTCCTGATCGAAACCTACACTGAGATTCGGGATAGATATCGTCAATGAGATATTTGGTAATTCTGTTGAGAATAACCCGAGCGAGAATTTTGCCAGCGATACTTAGAAGTGAAATGCCACAGGAATTATCGCATACAACCTTTTTGCCTTTGTTCTTGAACAGATGCTTTATGCACGCATCTTTGTAGTCCTGTGGAACAGAACCAACCTTCCATATGACTTTAAAAAGCTCAAGGACTTTCTTAACCAGCGTTTCCCCACCATATAAATTTTTTTCGGGTGAATAGTATCTTTACAGAGGCTTTTTTCGAGGACAATTGCTTGATAGAATCCTGGACTTCCTTTAAACATGGCTCAAGAGACAACTGGGAAATTTCTGGTCGCTGATGAATTGAGGCAATGACGCTGTCATCGATGGCAGAGGTTGAATTAAGGACACTTTCAAAGTGTTCTTTCCATCGTGATATAATTTCCTTCTTGTCTGTATTCTTCTCTTGTATGGCGTGTGTCACCGTCAGACGACAGAGCAGGTGAAATTCCATTTTCTTGTGGGACGAACAACTTTTTAAGGCCTTCATAGAATACTTTGGAATCTTTTCCGTCAGCTGGCGTTTGGAGTTCCACAGCCTTAGCAGACTACAAGGACTCTTTCATTTTTCTGAGAGTACGTTGCACTTCCCGCTGGCACTGTTTATATATGCAACTATATATATATATTTTCTCGGTCCGTTGAAGAAGGACACAGGCGTGTTCGAAAATTCCGGACTTAAAACCTTTTTCTGTGCTTCATTTCTGTCATATGGTTAATAATTAATTTTTCATAAATGTTTTTCGTACTGATTATAATGGCACTCTTCCGTTTGTCCTTGTTTTTTATCTAATCTCTCTATTTTCTTCTAATTATATATATATATATATAATATATATATATATATATATATATATATATATATATATATATATATATCGAGAGAGAGAGAGAGAGAGAGAGAGAGAGAGAAAGAGAGGAGAGGAGGGAGGCCAAGGAAACATTAAAAATACAAACCGTAGATAAATGAAAGAGAAAGGATTTTCTTTGTTGCGTTTAAAACATGTCAACTCATGTTACTTTATGTAAAGTCGGCATTTTCATGGGACACCAAGTTCGGACTCCCTACCAAGTAGTAATGGCTAACCAAACTAGCTTCGTTCAACCTTACCTCACACGTGAAACGTGAATCTATTTAGTTACCGATATCTTTAGCATATTCATATTTGTCTATTCAAAAATAATTTAATACTAGACTCCTGATGATTCGGAATAAGTAGAAATACAAGTTAAGCTAATTTTAAATTTCAAATGGAGTTGAAGTTTGTCTTATAAGTGTAGTCATTTCTTACTTATTTACTCGCAAATATTCTAAAACACAATGCAAGCAATTTTTTTAATAATTTCACTCCAAGGAAAGCCTTAATGCCAATAATACACAAGGGGTTAAAAACTTTTAGGTTAGTTGAGGCCTAGATTAATAATCACTGCCAATCGTCTAAGGCAAATACAAGTCAGCCGGAAGGTGTCGAGGACTATCGCATGTTTGTATCTTAGCCTGTTCATATCTGATTTTATAAGCTTGTTTATATCTATCTATCTATCTATCTATCTATCTATCTATCTATCTATTTTCAAACTCTAGGTAGATATTTATGGAGCTTTTTACTAGGTCTGCTGCTACGAAAGTTGGTTCAATGTGCTCGAAAATTCTTTT